CTCCCCCCGGGGCCCCCTCCCCCCCCCCCGCGCCTCGCCCGCAGCCCCGGGGGCCACCACCTCCGCTTTCCCCCACCCCCCTCCAACCACCACCACGCCCTGAGAAGTTGGTAAATACCTTAATCCACTCCAGGAGACGGGGGATTATGCCACAATTTCCAAGCTGAATTTCACTGAACACTTTTGCCCAACTACAAGTGTGTGGGTAAAATGGCGGTAGAGATCCTGCGCTCCTCCAGCGCCCGCGGAACTTTCTGCGCGGCTGCGCCTCGGTGCCCGGGCCGCGGCAGCCGGGACCTCTGAAATGTACCCTCCCTGCTGGGCAGGGATTTCCACGTAAGAAAACCTGCTCCCCCGAAAGGAAAACTTGCAAATGGCTCGGATGGCTCCTCTTTATTGAGGCGTTCAGAGAATGTAAACCGGGCAGCTGAGAAAATGCTGCCCTCTTCCCACTGGAAACCTGACTGTGCGGAGGGACTTTGCGGTGGCTCGTTCAGGGGGTTAAGCGAAGCTGAACATTTTTCAACTCTCGGGGAAGCGGAAGGCGCCGCAGCCCCCTTTTACCTGAATGTAACTCACTTTGCACAAGCAGAGTGCTTATGAGGATGGCTTTCCCTGGGGTCTCCTAACTTACTGCTAGCTTGTACTACACTAATATCCTTGATTTGTTGTCTCAACTTGGACGCTGAAGGTCAAATTGTTTCCTTACTTGAAACTTTAATTAGATTATATGCGTGCGTGTCTTTGTACATGCACCGCTGTATGTCGACAGTGTTTGGTTACAGAAGCCTCATCGTTTTCTAAGAGACCTTATTTTTAATGTCTTCCTGTCTTCCCCCCTTCCCGCTAACGCCAGATATTTACCCATCCTCTGTGCAAATGTTAGCGGTGCAAGATGTGAGAGCTCCTCATTGATTATTACAGTGCGGGAAGGACATACTTTTAAACGCGGAGCCATGAGCGTTTTCCCACCCACCTTGCATAAAGTGCATTCATGTGAAATATTTGGAATGCCTTCCTTTATGTGCTCTGCTAGCAGCCGAGCACGAGGTGGGCCGCATCCCCCCGAAATTTAATCGTGACGGGGGAGGGGGGGTGGCGGGAGGGAAAGAAAACCCAATAATTTCGGAAAAAAAACCCAAAACAAACAAACAAAAAAGCTACAAACAAACCACCAAAACCTGGAAGCTTTTACAAATATTGTAAGTCCTTTCGATCACATACGCCATGATGGTGAACACAGTGGCTTTGTTTGCACTTCACGTTTAAGGTTCCGGCGTATATTTTTGTGGTGCCCTCCGCGCACTGATACTTTTTGGCATTTGACGTATGAGGAGGTTATTTCCAAACTCGGCTGGTGCAGGACCTGGGCACACCTTGGCGTGCAGGGTTTTTGCAGTTTGCCATCATCAGCGACAATAACGCAGTCATAATTTCATCCCGAAGCTGGCTGTGGCATGTTTCCTTGAAAACCTCCCATATATCGTGTACCATGCCCGGTCCACACGATCCGAGGTTAAACTTTCACACGACTCCAGCAACACGACTATATTTCTATCATGCTTAACGTCACTTATCATATTACCAGACAAATTAATCCCGATTGCAATTCTTCCATGACTGAGTAGGCTCAAATGAAAAGGGAATCCTACCCTCACGATAGCGCCGTGTACC